ACTGTAGTGCTGCAGAGATGATCGGGCCTACAAATTTTGTTCTGCTGATTTAGTCAAATCATCGTGATTTTCTCAGTGAATATGATATATTATCTGTCAAAATAAATGCGATATTGTTCAGCCCTACCACCTATACACAATAATTATGAGTACTACTCACTATTAAGCTCCATATTGAGTCGATATTATGATGGGAATAGAAAATATGTGAATGAGGGAGTAATCATAATAACATTATAATGATTGGCATTGAATATAATGATGAAAATGTATTCTACGTTGATGCCTGTTATAAACCCGACTGATTAAATAAATGGTGGGGCAAAAAGGTGATTTAAGAATTAATGATAATATAGAGAGTTAAAACTCCATCAAGCAGGGAGGCACTACTGACTGTGTCCATGGGCCACGTGACTGTGAGGATCCATGGAAAGGCCAGAAACTTCTTATACTGCAGACCAGCGACCTGAAACACACACAACACACACACACACACACACACACACACACACACACACACAGAGTCATACAGTTTCAGTTCAAAGTGTTAAAACTGATGCGACAGTGAAGAAGACCACACAGACTGAAGACCTCATACCTCATCCAGCTCCTCCACCATCTTACTCATGACTTCACTGTCCTCTTTGCTCTGACACATCTCTGCTGTGACCACACCTGGGAGAGACAGGAGGGACACTTAGACCTGACTGTGTGTATTCTATGTGTGTGAGTGTCTGTGTGTCTGTGTGTGTGTGGGGGGGGACTCCGCTTGCCTTTGCACCCAGAGCACTGGATGAAGAAGCTGATGAGATCGAGGAGAGAGGAGTCTCTGTTCGTCGCGTAAGCCTCAAGCCAATCATCGATCACCGCCTGCTCAGACATCACATAAGAGTCAATTAGTGTGTTTTCTGTATTAATATTCTGATGATGAGAGTAATAAGCTAATGTCTGATCGACTTTACATTCCAAAATATATCAGATAATATAATTGTACCAGGTAGTATATTATGGCCTTTTTATAATGAGGATATGGGCTCATTCTTATTTTGCTCATTAACTGAATATACTGACTATAATGACTATAAATGGAATATTAATAAACATGTCAAGACTCAGGCTACTGAGAAACACAAAAAATAGTATAATTTGACGTCAGAGCCTTGTCTATTTTATTTATTTTTTATTTTACCTTTATTTAACCAGATAAGTCAATTGAGAACCAGTTCTCATTTACAATGGCGACCTTGCCCAGAGGCAGCAACAGGAGGCAAGTTGATACAACAAGTAAAACACACATACAGCTAATGCAAAGAACAATCGTTAAACAGATTAAAAATAGCGAAATAGATACAGTATGTACACAACCGAGATCTAAGTACTGTGTTCCTATGACTTCCTATATACAAAATATGACAATGTAGAGCAGTCGCAGCAAATACATCACAGCTGAGAGTTGAGTCATCTTACCTGCATGGCGCTCCTGCCCATGGTGACCACCTCGAACAGGGTGACAGCCTCCACATGCCTCTGTTTACCGTGGCTGCCTCCTGCTCTTCTAACACTGCTGCGGCCGGCTTTGGCACTTTTGCGTTTGACATTCTCTGAGCCGTTGTGTGCTCTCTTCCTTCGCCTCTGTGGGTTTCCAAAAATGTGACAGATAGGACGGTAAAGATACGTTGCATGAGTTCACAACAGTGTGCTTCATACTGAACAGGCCAAATACAAATTTGTGAATCACAATCTCCTCTGTGGTAGCATCAAAGTACCTTGATGATCAAATTCAAGAGTCAGTCAGGCACCGGACACGTCACTCTTCCATATGAGAGCTAACAAGCTTCATCACGCTTCAGTAACACTTAGTGCTTACATTATAATTTCCAAGGGGCCAAAACCCAAACATATTCAGTTTGCTTTCATACATGATCAAGAAAAGTAGATAATCTTCCCATATGGCATTCTTTGCTTGTAAAATGACTCTACTAATCAATTAATAAACTAATCGTTTCAGCTGTAAAAATATCCAATCAGCTCCTACAATAGGCCTTTTTCACAGCTGACATTTTGACTTGAAAGCACGTGTGTTAAGTTACGTTGTGTTAAGTGTTACCATGACAGTGTGACAGTGAGCCAGCACGAACAATACCAGGATCCTGAAACTTAAGCAGCTATATGTAATTCAGCAAGTGCAATGTAATAATTTCCTGAAAAAGTAATAAAATCTGCACTTAACTTGATAATCTTTTTTTTTTTATTTAATAAAAACATTTAATGTAATAACTTGACCAATAAAGTAGTAAAATATCCTGACTGATAATGTAATAACATCTTTACAGAAAATATTCAGGTGGGTCAGTGTTTAAAAGGTATGCTGGTATGGTAAATTAACCTACTGAAAACACTAATATTTGACCCTGTATAAATGTATACGTGTATGTATGTATGCCATTGATTGATATTTATATCAATAACTATATATATTAATTATTTTATTTGATTTTTTTATGTTATTTTATTAATTTGATTATCTTTTTCTATATGTGTAGCATGAAGGAACAACAAACTTTCATTTGGTTATACAACCTTGTGTTAATAATAATAATAATAATAATAATAATAATAATAATAATAATAAATGGGGCGCCCTGATGGCTCGCCTGGTGGGGCTCCCCCCCTTTCCTGTCTATCTTCAGCTGCCCTACCTAATAAGAGAAAAAATACATAAAATAATAAAAAAATAACAATAATAACAATAATAATGATAATAATAATTAATAAATAAATACATTTCCTTGATCTAAGCTTTATGTAGAATTTTAAATGTACAGCACATGGCAAGTGGTACATGGCAAAGCTGCATTAAACTGAAATCCCTATTGTTTATTATCATTATTATCAGTCACATTTTATTACATTATTGGGTTTTATTACATTTCCAATCAAGTTAAGATCAAATTCTATTCAATTTTTAAGAAAATTCCTACAATTATTTACACCTGTGCTTAATGTGACATGTCAAAAATATCTGCTGTGAAAAAGGCCAACTGTGAGAATAAGATCACCAGAAGGCACATAGGGCTGTGCATTATGGGTGCTTTCATAAATGTGTGCTTTCATTGCATCATCGCCCTGCTCTTCTACTGCTGCTCTTCCTGCAAACTGTTGCTTTCAGGCCCTTTCTGGAGAGATCCCTGCATGCTAAATGATGAACAGGGAAGCACTTACCACACTCTTGTGTCTGTTCTCATTCCCCGACTCATCCTCGGATTGATTGACAGGCCCCGAGGAGTTTGCCTCATCATGAGTGCTCTTACTGGGAAGTCACAAAACACATGAAATTAAAATACACCAGCAGAAAAATGAAATTAACACTCAATGACACACACACACACACACACACACACACACACTCTTACTTGTGCTGTGAGGAGCTGGATGCAGCTGTGGGATCTGGTATCATGTCCTCCTCAGGTCTTTACACAGAGCTCAGGTGTGTGTGTGTGAAAGGTGGGGTGAAACCAGAAGATATCTCAGACCGCCTGTGCAACCACAATGATGGACACCGGGTCAGTGTTAACTCTCATAATCATTAATATAATACTCATAGGTTAGCTAACATGCGTTTGTCTACAAATGTTGACACCAGCAATAATTCCCTGAAGTAGTCCTGCAACAAAGATTAAAACTGACTCACAGGTAAACAGGCGGGTCAGTCGCTCCTAAACTTCCCAAACTTACCATGTTCACATGGATTCATCCTTCCCTGATGTTCACTGAAGTCTCATTTGAAACCCGAAGGCTGTCAGACTATTACAATTCAAACCTTTCCACGAATATCTTCCTTCTTCCCCCCAACAGCTCTCATAGTCAAGTAGCCGGACAGCCTAACTCTCCCCGATTGGCTGACGAACCAAAACGGACGTATGTGATTGGCTCATCTGAGACGTCACTCACAGCTTTGTCCCTCCCCTGGCGGCTGTGACAGACAGACACCGTCCGGTTAGGGTTTTCTGCATACCTCAGCACTGTAAACATCTGTTCACTGCTCCTGCACACTTCAGACACCAGACAGTCGGTGTGTCCTTATAAAGTATTGTTTTTATACAACTCTAATAAACAACAATACAGTTCATGTATCCGTCCTGCTGTGAGTTTGGTGTAAAGTGTCTTGAGTTAGCCCTTGTTGTCTCTCTCTTGTGTATTTTAATTAACCACACTAGCAGTTGTTAATTCAGCAGGGAGCTGTCTCGGTTTGATATTTGGCAGGAACTAAACAGCAGGAGGCGCCATTTCCTTATCTTGATTTAGTTTTACAGGTTCAGTGTTGGAGGGACTATATTCCCTCTCTTAATCCAAGAGGTTTGGTGGTGTACAAATGCAGAAAATCTTCATCTTCCATATTTACCCCTATGGAATCATGATTATGTTATCTGGTAGTAAGTAATTATATGACAAAAGCTGCCTCATATGAACGCATGCTCATCAAAAGGACACATAGAAACCATTATAAGGGACCGATTTCGCATTATTTGTGGGATTACAAGATATTGTCTGAAAATACTTGAAATATTAAATATGGTTTTATTTATTTAGTGACTTCCTTCTGTTTGTGTTATACTCTCTTTTGTATGGATTTCTCTATTTCATAGATTTCACTGATGGAATGTCTCATTTGACATGTTAACTTGTCCTGTATCAGTGCTCTCAAAATCAATAAAACATTTGAATTATTGAAAAAAAAGATACTCAGAAATTGAGCCAATACTTTATGAGGGACTGTATTGTTTACTGATTTGACGGCTAGTCTGTATTTATGTGAATCCTGTTACTTAACTAATTCAAAAACCATCAACCTTTATCAGGAACTGTGTAGCAAGGGCAGAGGAGCTCGTAGTTACTTGTGTGCCTTACCTGCTATGACAGGTCAAAATATTCTTATGACATCTACCAAACACGTCTGAAGTGAGGACATACAGTCTCATAACAGGGAGAAAGCAAAAACATTTCCCTATTGCATTAAATTTTATTATTCCACTTTAGGTTAAAAAATAAAATAAAATTATAACAGTAGTTATAACAGTAGTGCAAGGAGGGAGTCAACAAGCTTACATTCATTTCCAAACAACTGACTCACCACAGAGACTAACATGGGCCACATTCAGGAGGACAATATAAAAACCTAGGTGTAAAAGAAGTAGGTCATCCAATCCCACGTCAGCTGAATCAAGTTGTGTAGCACCTTTTTACAGTCGTAACAACATCAGTTTATTTAGAAGCAGGAGACTCCTGGAGAAACCCGGTTTTCCAAACGTCAGGACACACAGAGGCGCTTCGACAGGGTGAGTCAGGACAGGAACTGTGACACAAAGGTCACAGCCTGGTGAAGGTCTTCTGTCAGCTCCTCCGGCAGTGACAACACCACCGATGTCACGCTTTGAGTTATTTCTAATATCCTGCATGGAGCACACAGCATACGGTTGTTATCAGATTGCTGCTGTGTTAATCACCATCTCACTGAACGTTTGGATTTGAACTCACCAGCTGATGTAGTGAGCGGCCAGCTGAGGTTCATGCCTGGAGCCTTCCTCTACAGCTAGACACTGTTTCATCTGCTTGAAGTTGGCCTCAATATCTTTCTTTATTTCAGAGAAAGCCTGAATTCCTCTGAAAGAGCTGATGACTTGCTGCAAAAAAGTGACGTTAAAAAGTACACAACTTACAGTGGAGTGGAAACAGAGAGGCTGGTGCATGATAGAAAAAAAGCTGAAACAATGATAGTTGCAATTTATTCTTCTTACATATATAACCGAGAGCTGGTGGGCGATGTATTTATGACTCCCAAGGTGCCTGATATCTTCTTCTAGCTGCTGACTCAGCACCAGGAGCTGGTTCAGTTTGGCAATGTGGAAGAAGTATTCTGTAGAAGAAGCATCAGCTCACTTTAGTTGTGTTCTTTAGGCAAGTCGGTATTTAATAAAGAACAATCAAAGGTTAAAGAGACAGCGGCATCAGGAAATACAGCGACAGAAGCACAAGCAGTAACACAAATAGCAGCAGCAAGAGAACAAGAAGTATGGATGAACTGGTGTCTTCTCCGTCATTGTTGTCGTTGTTATTCTTCTAGTTACAAGACATGCACATGAACATAACAGTGTGGAGAGAACATACATTCTCTGTAATCAGTGGTGGAAAAACATTTTGTGCCTTTACTTGTGTAAAAATTTGAAATGCCACAGTGTAAATATATTCTATTACATAATAAAAGTCCTACATTCAAAATCTTTGCTTTGTTATCAGCGAAGTAAAAGCACTCATTGTGCAGAATAATCGCCCCTGTCAGTGTTTTATTCCCTTGTTAACACTAAATTAATTTAATGTCTTCGAAAATCAAGGTGGGGTCAATTTGAACTACTTTATAAGCTACTGGGTAGTTAAGTGCATCATATTAGACAATCTTGTGTTTTGCATGTAAAATCTTAATGTGCAAAGTAGCTACTATTTGTCAAGTGAAGTAGAAAATACAACATTTGCCTTTTAAATATAGTGGAGTTTTAAGTATTGTGGAGAAATGGAAATTCTGAAGTAAATTAAAATTGCCAAAATAAAGTATACAGTATAAAGTATACAGTAATTCCCACCACTGACTATAACATAATCTGTGCTGGATGTCCATTTTAGATTAATACAGAACAGCATATTTTAAAATGACAAACAAGGGTTTTTTGCACTTGTGTTGAGCTGATTTCCACTATAAAAAGCTCCAGATGTTTTACATTTCTTTCTAAATATATACATAATCTATCTTCACAAACAATAACATATTGGGACATCCTTCTTCCTCCTAGCTGGGGATAAATTTATATCCTCAGCTGGATCTCTTACCGTCCATTGGCGGCCTCTCCAGCATGTCCACTGGGCTGCCTTGAATGAGGAACACCTCTACACGAGGAAACATCACTGATAGACCCACCATGTCCAGGTAGTCCTGAGGAAACACATAAACCCACAGACTTCTGTTACAGAATTCAGCGGTTATCTTGGATTGCAGCTTTCTTATTTCAAGCCTTTTTAGGTAAGTATGTGAAACGATTGCTCTGATATTCCATGGCATGCTGTTTTATTTGTACAGTGTTATTAGATGTGATACCTCCAGCTGTGGCATAGGCTTTGGTAGATGTTCAAGGCACTGCAGCATCTGGTCAAGAATCTCTGATCCTTTAAGAATATAGCACAAAAAACTTTAAACATACAAGAGTTCTCCAAGTCAAATTAAAAACTTTGATACTTATCACACTTATCACACTGACCTTGGGCCTGGAAAGTGTCTGACTCCTCTGGGCTACAGCCTTGTCCTAACTGCTCCTGGAACTGTAACATAAAAATGATGAATAAAGTCACAGGATGAAAAGAGGAGCATCTTATACAGAGTGATGTGAAATGCTTGTGAACAGTAGGACAGAATGCAGCATTATAAACAGTTTTAAAGTGTTGGGATGTTGACACATGATTCTATTGTTTAAGCCAGCAATGAATTCCTCATGTCTAAAGCTGCCTTTGGGTGCTGTCGTAAATGTCAGAGTTGTAAAATGGGATAGGTTTACAAGAAGAAGACTGTTGCTCACAATTTAATACAAAGAAAAATGTAAGTGTTTGGCCTGGATGTAAATGGTTTTTTTCATTATTCCTGGCTGGCAGCACTATAAAGGATTTCAAGAAACAGTTTTAATGAAGTGGGTATTTTCTATTTCTGGGTTTCCATTCAAGCAGTTTGTTGTGAATGATGTAAGTGTTAAGAAAAGCTTTGTTGTGTTAAAAACTAACGAACAAATCCTTAAAAACAAATTAAAGATGATGGAAAATGCATGTACAAGTCCTAATTGTAGTTGTATGGACATTAATTTGTTCCTCAGCCCACTGTCAAGTGCATTTCTTGTCATCTTCATATAACATGATGTATTGCCAACATTAGCTGGAATAACTAATGTGCTGCTCATCCAGTGCTAATTGACTCTCATTTAATGGGTGTATTGTGCATTAGTTAACAGGGGTGTACCCAGGGGGTGGCCTGATTTGCCACCCCTTTATCCTAAACTATGACTGGCTATTTGCCGGTCAAAGGCAGGTTCAAACCAAAGTTTATAAAAATTCTTTAAACTTTATAAAAGTTTGCAAGCCAACATAAAAACAGGTGTATTACCTGTTTTGAATGTCCAAGATGGCTGACAAATACTGTATCTCCTGGGCTGTGTTTTAAGAGGCAGCTGGTAGCTCCTGTGACATTTCACTGTAGCACATTTTCTGTAGGAGATTTGTGTTGTAGATTTCACGGTAGATTTGAAGTTTTGCACAATCTTTGTCCACCCAGGATTATTTATTTTCATTTTGCTGGTACTTTATACTGTCACTGTGTTTTTCAGCGTGCATCATTTTGTTTTGTGCCTACTTTTAGAAGCTTTACATAAAATTTAGATGGCACCGCGCATGTGTTGTGATTGGTGTTGGTCTATTAATCTTTTCAACAAACATCTTAAACACAGGAATGTAAGAAACTGTAAGATAGTGTAATGTAAAGTAATTAATCCTATTCCAACCTGCATAAGTCAATGGCCCACTTGGGCCACCCCAGTCATAAAAAATCTGGATACGCCACTGTTAGTTAACGTTATACTTCCAAGATGCCGGTTAACTTTGCACCAGCTGCTGGAGATGTTTTTGGTGAGACTTTTACTCAAATTTCACTTGACAGATGGAAACTGAGGTTAATGTGTGCACCCTACCTGCTGCATCTGTGCCCTGACGAGGAGGTCCAGTTGCCCACAAAGACACAACATCTCCAGGCCCACCTGCTCTGGACTCAGCTGGACGGGCATCAGGGGTCTCTTCACCTGTAGCTCCACTGACCACACAGCAGCAACCAAATCAGTAGAACTGTCTCACATCCCCCCCCCCACCCCCTTTTTTTTTTTTTTTTTTTTTGCCTTGCACATCTTAATGAACACAAACACACAACAGGGACACCCCCACAGCCTATGAAACAACGTGCATATGTCATCTATCCTCCAGGTCCACGGTAGGATGGAGATGAAGGGCTGGAGGAGGGGAGTGGTCAGTGTGCTCAGATGAGCCTTGCAGGGCGCACTCCTCCAAAGATGCAGTTTAATTCAAACACCAGAGAGACTTCAACATGACGCTGCAAAAAGCCGACATAAAAACGAGTGTGTGCTGCTGGGACTTACCTTTGAACGCTTCATGGTAAACGCAGGGCTGACAGAGCGGCTCTGTAGTGCTCACTGCCATATCTGACTGTAACGGGCTCAGATGATCTCACTGTTCTCCTAGATGGGTCCCGCTGATGATCAACGCCATATGAAGCTGATAATAGAAAAGTCAATAGCCCAGGTGAGGCTAGAAAACAATAGATTAGGGTCTATTTGTTTATATTATTGCATTTGGTCTGAACTGTCCATCGCAAGGGGTGCGTTCGAGTGCCAAACGTTCAGTCAGGGTTGAATAAACGCCGATACAATGTTTCTTCATCCGTACTTTGTTGTTACGATGCAGCCTAATGGTGAAGAATAAACCCTTTCCTCCTGAGGATCCATGTAGCTGCTGAGAGATTGGTGTAATAACTGAAAGAAAACAATGCCCACGCCCTTTGCAACAACAGCCGTGCAGTCACAGTCTGTGATTTGCAGTCTTGAACGCCCCTCACACAGACTGGGGACTAGCCTTTCGGAATGATGTCATGTTTTAGGGATGAAGATAGCAGCATCACTTGGTGAGGATGAGGTGTTCTCTTCAGGTTTGATCCCAGTTCTGTACCTATGGAGCCATTATCATAGCAAAATGATTGGAGAGTTGTGTAACTGTATCTCAATCCATGAATGTGTAATCAGATTTGTAAATGTGTAAAATAATATGGACTGAGATTTGTGAATGTGTACAGGAATCTGCAAATGTGTGTTCAGAATGTGTTTGTTTGTAATCAGATTTGTAAATGTGTAAAATCTACAAACATGTGTTCGGATTTGCAAATGAATTGAGATTTGTAAATGTGTACAAACACGTAAATGCGAATATACATCTGAAAATGTGTACACTAATCTGTAAGTGCGGACACATATTAATGGCTGAAAAGTCTAAGTATTTGCTCAGGGAGCTGGAAATACAGACAATTGCTGCACTGTCTATTGTTTTTAACCTACTTTAGATGAAACCAGATGAATGGCAATATGGGGCACTGAAATTGTTAATCAGACCCTAACTCTAACCCAGGATTAGGTTGGAAAAACGGTAAATGACAGTGTTTCTGGGGTCCTCACTGTACAAAAACACAACATTAAACTGTGGATCATATTTTATGTAGAAAATATGATCTGGTTTTCCTGCTGATGTCCTCTGGCTGCTCTTTGTCTCATCTCCCTGTGATTAGTTTACTGATGGATAGATAACATTGGCATCATTGTTGCTAAAGTATGCAGCTAGTTAGGTAACTGTACCTGGCTACTGCTGAGCTCAGTGTCAGTGAACTGAGCAGCCTCCAGGTCCGATGGAGGCCAGTCAGGCGACAGGGAATCTAATAATGCACACATGGATTCTGAACACACATTTTTAGATTCCTGTACACAGCCATTTAAACCAGACAATGGCACAGACATATGAAGCCCTGAAGTGTTCGTTAAATAAATACATAATAATGACAATAATTTTGTACAACCATGTAAAATGACAATAAATGAACCTTGATTAATAATTATGAAGCACTTTTTTTTCAAAGATCACAAAGTGCTATATTAAGTCAAATACACATATGAAGTAACAGTAGTAATATTTTTTTTAATGAGAAAATTGATGGTGTTAGTTTATTTTTGAAAAGAGTACAACTTTCAGAACAGTCCCTGAAAGCAGCATTCCCTAGCAACAAAATAATCTTTGTTTATAAAATACCCTGAAAGAAGGATTAAAAAGCAGAGATAAACAACATAAAGCCAAACAATTCAGAGGAAAAAGACAAATACATAACTATGGGGGATGAAATCAGTCCTGAAGAGAGAGAGAAGTCATTATATGTGACACAAATTCGACATCTGGATGAGCAGTTGAAGAGGTAAGACTGTGGGAGGTTAACTGCCAACCTGCTTCTCATTTTGCAGGGGGTGTAATAATAATAAATTCTTAATAGTTTCTTTAAACACTGAATGATATATAATTGTGTCTTTTACACATATTAAAAAGCATTTGAATATAAATAACTAACGTTAATAACAAATCCAGATTTAGTTGCGTAGCTCTTTAGTGTTACCCAGAGTTAGCTATGTTAGCATTAGCACCAGATTGTACCTCTCAATATGTTTGTGCCACATAAGATGGTAATAAGACTGAAAAAAGCTAATAATATATAATATAATGATATACTATGATATATACTATAATAAATACAATAAAAATAAATATGGTATAACAAATATAAAAGACAACCCAGAATGATTATAGTGACATGTAAAGTGCTCTTCAGCTAGGGCAGCAACTAACGATGTTGTTATTACCATTATCAATTAATATGATTATTTTCTTAAGTATTGTTTTGTCTTTAAAATGTCAGAAAATAGTGCAAAATGCTGATTATAACTCCCCAGAGCTCAAGGCAATGTACTCAAGTTGCATGCTTTATTGAACCACCAGTGCAAAATCCAAAGATATTCAATTTAGTGTCATACTTGACAAAGGAAAGCAGCCAATCTGTGTAAATGCTCTAATTACAACAAAAAACACAGAAGATTCTTGCATATAACCCCTCAAGACCACGTATCTCTCTTTATCCTGCAGATGTCAGCTTAAATGTGACGAGCTGGAGAAACAGAACAAGGACCTCGCCTCTCAGTACAGTGTGGTGGAGGAAGACAAGAAAGACATCGCAGAGTACCTGAAATATGCTGTGGCTGCAAAAGAGAAGGAGGTGAACGAGCTGACTGAGCGGCTGGAGAGTCTGCAGCAGGCTGACAAACAGGACAGAGAGGCCCTGAAGCTGTACCTCAGCCAGCAGAGGCAGGAGCTACAGGAGCGGTTCGATGAACTGAACTCCCAGTCCATTAAGCAGGGTGAGGCCATGTGTCATTGGACAAATGTTTGTTACACAGTGTTTATTGGTTTATTATTATTACCTAGTATTATTGATTAATCTCTTAACAATTGTTTCAATTAAGTGTATGGCATTTTAGTTTGATAAACAGCTTCAGTGATTAAATGATTATATTAATAGATTTTAATTCATTTTCTGTTTATTATTCTTCATAATTATTTACAAATTGATTAAATAACTTTGCAAACTGATATGGATCTGCAGGTAGGTAAATGACTACCATGCTTGATGGGTCGCCTCATAATCTATGACCACAGCGTTAAGTTTTTATTTAGGTCCCCAAGTGGAGGACAAGTCTATGAACATTTGGCAGTTTTTTTTACATTTTTTAAATGCATTTTTGACATTTGATGACCAAAAATCCAGAGACATGGATGGATCTTTCATCACATTGGACCTGTAACGTCAATAAATAATCAGTAAAATAATTGTGAGACTTTAGTTTAATCACCATGAAAAAGGATGTTAATGTACCCAGACTGGATTCTTGGTGTACAGGATTCAGTGTGCTCAAAAGTGCTGCGTAAAGTTCAAAATTGTCTGTTTTGGAAAGTTGCAAAAAGCAACAAAAAACAGCCTAAAGGTGTAGAGGTGTTGTGGGAGGGGGTTTCAAACACTGTTCCAAGCACTTTGTGTGAAGTATACTGTAAGAAGCATCCTCTTCTCTCCTCCTTTACTCTCCCATCCTCCCCTCAGAGGAGCACAAGGAGCAGATCATGCAGCTGATGCAGCAGCTGTCCAAAAAGCAGTCTCTAGAGGAACAACTGGTCAGTCAGAAGGAAGAGCACGAAGCTGCCACCTGCAGCATGAGGACGGACGCAGCGTTCGAGAGGGATAAGTAAAGTCTGGGGCAGTTAGCATTACATCATCAGGGGAATTTTTCATGCTGATCTCTTTTTTCAATGTTGGTTTAACTGTTGCTTCAAAATGTTGGTCGGAAAACAGTTAATGTTTACCCTTACCTTCCCCTGCCCTCCAACAACAGGCTGTCTAACGAGATACAGAGCAAGGTGGACGCTATCATTAACACAAAGGCCTCAGACATTATTCAGAAGGAGAGGGCTCAGCGCAGCGAGTGGGTGGAGCAGTTCCACCTCCTGCTGCATGAGAACGTGGATCTGTGGGAGGAGAGATACACCCTGGAAGCCAAACAAGGGGTGATTTTATGTCAGATTGGCCTACTGAGGGAAGATATTAACAGTGACACCATGGAGAGCTTCATCCACAAGAGGGTAAGTGGACATCTTACAATGCTACCACGAGTAGTGTAAATGTGACTCAGGGGTATCCGGATTCAAACCAGAGACCTTGTGATATGTAGTCAAATGCTCTGCCACTTAGCTATACCCCAACATTTTCATATCACTGTCTCTGTTGACAGGACTTGGCTCCAATGTTTGTTGACAGTTTTGAATTTACATTCAACTAGCTGAGCTTCAAATGGAGGCAAAATGAGCTTACAGATGGTTTTTTTAACACACCAACTTATGAAGTTGCAGCCTTTGTCACACCATTTTTCTTCATCATTCTTCTATAATTATTTTCCACCACTGTTGTAGAATTTTTGTTAGTTTGCTAACAAACATGCAAGGAAAGCTATATAACCTCCTTCACCTTAACAAAATCATCACAATCACTGAACATATTTCCTTCTTCAGGAGGTGGGGAAGCAGACGAACAAGTGCCAGCAGCTGGAGGTGAATCTAAAGGGCCGTAGCGCCGTCCACAAGCGCACGCTGGCCAGGGAAGAGGAGCTGAGGTAAAAGTTTCATCTTTCTGCTGTCCATGACATTTATTGTCATGTAAGGTGGAAATTCAAGAATGTTGAATATTTATGTTGAGGCCACATTACTGAAGGTTTTAAACACGAATTACATCATCATCACTGAAACAACATAATTCTTAGTCAGGGGCCATGTGGATTTGAACCAGAGATCTCTTGATCTGCAGTCAAATGCTCTACCACTGAGGTATACAAATATTGAATAATCAAGCTGTTATTTTCTATGTTGCGTTTTCAGAAAGGAACTGGCCTCAGCGTCCGAGGAGTGCAGACAAAAATCAGCTGAAGCCAGTCAGCTGGGGGCCGAGCTACAGTGGGAGAGGAGCAGGAGGAGGGAGCTGGAGGGCATCATATGGGAAGCAGTCGTCATTCTCAGACACATCATGGAGGTAAAAACAGCGTCCTGTTGCTTGAAATGAAACCTTGCAGACTTTCAGCTTTGGGATATAATGATATCTGTGGGAGCTGTATTCCAGAGAGGGAAGATGATTCTGGTTTTAATCCAGAACAGTCAGACAACTCATGTACCTTCTGCTGCTCAGTGGAAGAGGTATTCAGATCCTTCGCTACAGATCTTTATTAAGTCAAAAACAATCCAGAACTGTCAAATAATCCATTACAAGTAAACATTTTGGATTCAATTATTATACCATTATTAGAACTATTAACTATTATTATAAATAAACTTCAAGAAACTACGAAGAACTCAATGTTCTTTGGTATCAGAATTGCACAGAATTGTACCTTTCACAGTGATATATTGTTATATCAATTGTATCAGTGTGTTATTATTAGTAATATATCAACTCCAGAACGAGTCTAGCAAATAGATAAATAAAGATGAATCTAGCAATAAAATATTTTAAAAATCTGACAAACAGATAGAAAAGTTTTGTTTTGCCAATAAACCAGAGTCATCTACGGTCAAGAATGAATGGAAAGAAAAGATTTATTGTCAACATGTCACTACTTATAATGACTTTTTTACTCTGATGGAGGCATTTTTTTCTCACAGCTATAATTTGGTTTATTGATCCAGTGTACATTTTATGATATCATTTTATGTGAAAAGCAGCAACTCTCAAGCATTTCTTTTGGCTGAAAATTGAATTCTTACTTACGTGAACAGGAAGTATTTGAATATGATTTTATTAGCCCCAAAAATGGAATTAAAACAAATATTATAACAGGAATATAATATAATTGAGATCATTCTGCAGGACTCAGAGAAGGCGTCAAACACTCAGCGGAAGAAGAAGTGGCTGCTGGAGGTCCTGGAGAAAGCTGCCCCCAAAGAAACAGGCCCTGCTCTTAAAGTCTCAACTGAGGAGAGCAGTCAAGGACAGACACCGCAGACCACTGAAGCCAAACCAGCCAGGTACTGGGATCGCCCTCCACTGGACCTGTTAGTCTTAGGACTTGAGATGACAGTTGTGTGAACACATTGCGGCTGTTTCCTCACAATCCTGATGAGGCTCGAGTCCCACCTGAACCAGATTAGCTGTTAACTGATCTCATCACAATATTCAAACAACAATGCACTCCTCTCTGAATAAGACTGCAAAGTTTTAAACACACAGAGAAAGGAAATACTTAAGCAAAGTGTAAAAACCTCTAAACTGCATTTAAGAATAGAGTTGTAATGGACCCAACTCTCTTCCACAGTGCCGAGACCCTGAATAGAGCCACAGATCCACTGTTCCTGCTTGCCCGCTATAGGCCAGGCGACCTCGGCTTAATACCTCGACCTACATGGAAACACAAACCAGCCGTCTCCACCAGCACCAAGTGGCGTCTCAACAGGTTTGTTATGACTCGGTAATGCTGCATTAGAATCATCCTAAAACTACATTAATGCTCTGCCTGATCTGCTCTCATAGGGATTCATTGTTTATATCTATAGTTGCATTGTTTAGACTTTATACAGGAAAGTGCCACCAGATTTTATTGGTGTCCTGATCCTTCAGGAGACAGATTCATGTCTGTGTCTAGAGCTATGGAAGGACCTATAAGCCATAACATTATGAGCACTGACAGGTAAAGTGAATAACACTAATTATCTTGTTATCACTGCACCCCTCAGTGGGTGGGATATATTAGGCAGCAAGAGAACATTTTGTCCTCAAAGTTGAAGTGTTAGAAGCAGGAAAAATGGGCAGAGTGAGGATTTGAGCGACTTTGACATCTCCAAAACTGCAGCTCTTGTGGGGTGTTCCCAGTCTGCAGAGGTCAGTACCTATCAAAAGTGGTCCAAGGAAGGGAAAGCGGTGAACAGGAGACAGGGTTCTGATAGAAAGGTGTCAGAACACACAGTGCATCAGAGTTTGTTGCGGCTGATCGGTGTCTATATACCACTGAATCTCAGACTCGCCAGAATCGCCTTTGTTTATCTTTCCACTGTCTTTTCACCAAATGTTGCTGTTTGGTCAAAATAAACTCTTAATTGACTGAGTTAGATGTGAAAATATTTGTGAAAAGGGCTGCCATTGGTAATACTAATGTTAATCCTTGGGGACAAATGCACCCGTCCACAGAGGATTATCACCCGACAAACTTTATATTGTTTGTCACTTTGACTGTTGATCACTCAGCACTCTTAAAGCATTGTGTTTGGCAGGAACAGGCCGCTGTTTTCAAAGCTCTAAAAAAATTATAATGTAAAGCATTTAACAGCTGAAGAGCCAGATATTTTACTCAGGAGTTGGTGGAGACCAAAAACAGCTAAATGAAGCGTAATTATTGGATTCATAGCAATTGGGTGGCGAGAAACTGGTGAAATGACTCCAAGTGAATGCTAATCTTGCTCTGTGGTGCCAGATGGGTAAATAAGGCATATCAACTTTATGAGGTGATTATATGTCAGTGTTGTGTTCACAGGTTTCTGCTACCACCAAGTGGACAAAAACATTTTTAATGTATAATCTGTTGTTTGTATAAATGCTGTGGGTCTTTCGGTCCCTTTAGGAAACCGTGCAGTAAGAAGACAGGAACCACCGCCTCTGAACCAAAGCCAGTCAACAAAGACGAATGTTTTTTATCCCACTGCCCCATTTCAAAATAAAGGTTTTAGTCACTTTATTTCTGCTTCTGACACGTTTGTGTAGATTTGTAGATAATTACTGCTCTCAACATTTACAGATGGCAAAGTCATTTTTTATAACTGTATTAGATTATTCTGCTAATTGTCAGAAATTCCAGAATATGTTTGAAATGATTAATTGGCTGTCCAAAACGTTGTTATAAAACAGTAGTTTTTGTATTTTAACACTACTGTATTTAGCCCTACATAATAATATTAGAAAGATTGAAGAATTGCATTATTTACAAATATGATAAATATTGTGGGTTTTAAGACACCAGCTGGTTGATATAAAATAAGTAGTAGAGTGAAAATTAGTATAAATAAAGTGAGGAGAGGGTCTTCACAAGAAAAAATAATTTAAAATATCTTTATCTGCGATTAATGACTGTATGTCAAACGTTACCCTCCTCACTAATGTCTGATTGCTGTTGTAAACTTGTTATAAAGAGGAAACTCAATCTCAGATTAGAGGCAAACCAATTAGTAGATAAAAATGTGATCATCACAGCAGTGTTTACAAAATGTTGGGCCAAGCTGAGGCTGAAGGTCAGACTATAGACCCATTACTGTGACAAAACTATTCACAAATGTGTAGTTGTCAACTAATCTAATCAACTAAACTTCTCAATTAACTCGGCCAACATAATGTCAAAACATTGTAAAAAAATAACTACTCTGTTTCCTAAAACCCATTTTACAGTCAGATTAAAAAAAATAAAAAGATGCAAGTCCTCACAACTGAGAAGCTGGAACTAGGAAATGACTGACATTTTTGCTGGAAAATGACTTAACATGATCAATTGCTTATCAAAGTAGTTGCAGTTTAATTCTTCTGTTGACTAGTTGCTTAATCATTGCAGTTGTAGTAACCTTTCAGATTAAGATCAGTTTATAAAATGTGTTGCTACAGATTAAACACCCTAAAATTTGCTCCTCCTCATCCCACAACACTGTGCAACTGCTAACATATTACTGCATCAACAGTAATCAGTAATATAAGTAAGGAAAGACATCTTCAGAAGAAAATGTGCATGTACTGTGTGCTAATACATTTGCATTTGAACTGGTCTTAAAATGGAGGGGCTGAAAGAAATTAAAATTTAGGTGGAGCTGTGTGCAATGAAGTAATGTTTGAAGTTAAAAGTGCTGAAAGTGTAAAATATGAAAGCGGTTGAAATGTTCCTGCATAATGATATTTATATATAATGCAGGAACATTTCAACTGCTTTACACTCTGGAAGGGGCCATTCTGCATTATGACTATTTACTTTTGATACTATATGTACATTTGTACCACTAGTTTTGTTTCAGTGGTATCACTACTTGTACGTACTTCGTAAATGATCTGATTATTTTTGCACCGCCAGTGGAAGATCCTCAAAGCACAAACCAACTCTGGGCTTGGTTTATTAAATAGCAAAGTCAGACAGGATGTCTCAAATCCCTCAATCAGGACTCAAAATGCGTCTTAATAAAATACAACTGGCTTATAAAGTTTGTCACAGTTTTACAGTATCCAAAGTGAAAGTTTGAAATAAAAATGTAGAGAAAGTAAAGGCAAGAAGACATTTAAATAGTGTGCTAAGGAATATATCTCCTGATACTATAATAATAACAATAACAATGATCAGGCTGGCGTTATAAAAAAAAGAAAAAGCAAACTGAAGAATTCTCTAGCAAAGATCTAACTCACCTGATTCTTTTCAACACTCAAATATACAACAATGTACATATTTTTGTCATTATTCGTAAACAACCTTAATTTCAATAGATAATCTTGTTTACAAGTGCACCTGGAGGAGAAAAATAACATTTATATCCTTTTGCATCAACTGCCCATCAACTGTGTCCAAGATGTGCGTTAATGGCAAATCTGGTTTGTAAGCTTCTATCAAGAATAAAGAGTGTAGTCCACAACTGTACATTTTACTCCCTTTCACAACAGCAATTATACATCAGGTCAATAGTCCAGTGGCTGAAGCAGATAGGACACGTGCTGGATTTTGACATCTTGGGACGACAGTTGTTACTGTCTTCTTAGCTCAGGAATGGACCCATCCATGCTCTCAAAGGGAGACCAGCTGAGCTCCAGTACTGTCTCTGAATCTGTTGTTTCTACTGCCGAGTTCCCGGGGGTAGAGTGAGGTTGGCCATCAGTTCGTGAACAGAAGCAAATATCGTACACTCACCTGAAAAAAAATATATATCCGGTTTTAGCAAAAGGCATTTAGCATCAAGTATATAAGTTGATACCAGTTTCAGTTTCACAAATTTGATATGACTTTTTCAGTATAGTAAATTATTCAGTGTTCATCAGTGTGCAAGTCTCACCCTGTCTGGCGGGGTGCAGTTCATTGAACCTCTTAAGGATATTGGAGACCATGAGTGCTGCAGCCCCAGAGGAGCTGTGCTGTCTGGGGATGTCGGCCTGCTGAGTGAGACCTGTGGCCATGTCGTACACAATGGGCACGATAATGCTCACTGGTTCCTGGGGCACTGGGATACGCTGGGTCAGCTGCAACTGTGAGGCAAAACATACCAAACAGGGTCAGGTGTGTTTAAAATGATGCTACACAGGTAGATAACTTGTGCCCTGGTTGAGGAGAGCTAATGGTGACGCTGTGCTGAGACTTACGAAGAAGAGCATCTTGGACTTTAGCACCACTGCGATGGTTCCAGGTGGGGCGATGGGGGGAGCACTGGGAGGGATGGTGAGACAGAACTGGACATTCCACTTGAGCTGTGCAGCCTGGTCAGGGAACTGCAGAGAAAGGCAAGTTTGTATCATACAGTATCTTACAGACACAGAGGAACTTGCTTTATATAAAGTAAAGAAATGAATCAAGATATTAAAAGATTTAAACTATCTTTAGATACACAACAATACATTTCTCACAGGACATATGATGTACTTGTTCTGTATCTTGTTGCAATGTGTCCATTGTTATTTGACAGCTACTATGACAACTATAACAGAAGAAGTTTACATATTCAAAAATACCCCACCAAATGTTTTCTCTGTTCCTACAGTTGGATGTTTGAGCTTCACTGTGCAGAATGGTGTATGTGCAGAGTTTGACACTAGAAGGATTTTCACATTCATCTGCTGAAAGTGGAAAGTTTCTTAGAACCTTTTTTATAACTGAAAATCTGGTTTTAAGAGATGTGGCCTATGAGCAAGATTTGTGACATCACAACATGTGTGCTGTAGAAACTTGAAGCCACCAGTGCACATACACTGAAGATCCAGCAGGAAAACTTAAGAAATCACTTAATTTGCATATTCAAAGATTCTTTTAGACACTTGAGGTAGAGCAAGTAGGACATTTTTATTTATTTATTTTTTGGCAGACAAAGGGGATCTTTAAATTAGAATTTCCTAACAGGTGTAGTAACATCTGTGTGGAGATGATGCTAGGCAATTTTCAGTTTTCTACATTTTGTGGAAAAATATAAACTGAATATGTTAAATAGATGAGGCTCATGCACAATAATGATTAAATACATGTAACAACCCCTGGTATAAAAGAAAGAGCTACCCACCAGCTCAAGCTTCATGATGCGCACACAGTCCCGAAGGATGTTTGTGGGCGCCCCCAGCAGCTTCGTGAAGGCATTCAGAGTGTTGTATTTGAAGGGAGGACCAGCAACCTAGAAAGAGAACAGCAGAAGATGGATCAATGGAATAACAACAGGAGTGCAGGCATCTGTTCCTATGAGTGGCCTTAAAGGCTATCCTTGTTAAATTCATTGGCTTTCAATTGAAGCACTACACTTCAATTAAGTTGTAGATATTTCAAATGTAGAACAATATTTTCAATATTGATCAGTTGAGACAAATACAAAATCCATTTTTATTTTCAAAAATGCCTCAAATGTATGCGTTTGAATTATTTATGAATTAGGCTTTAAAAGGATGCTGCTTATACTGACCCGCGTCTCAAAGAACTTCTCCAGCACTTGAAGCTCCTCCTGGGACCATGGACCTGCGTTTTCTGGAGTGACTTTGAGCTGCAGTGTCTGGTAGTTCTTTGGGTTGAGAGCCACGCGGCACTTGAGCACGTCCGTCTTGAACATGATCACCCCCGGCTCATTAGAGTTCACAATCGATAACTGGAGGAGAGATGACAGAGTGAGGGAAGTTAGGAAAACACACATAATTTAATTTGAGTGGGGGATAAGGCATCATCTAATTATTAATAATCTGTGCAACACTTACATTGGCTTCCTGCTGGATGATTCTCTGTAGGTGTCGTCTCATAATAACTGAACCCAGAAAGCGCTCTAGCGGCGAGCAGAGGTAGCTTCCTGCCAGGCCTGGAACCTGGCAGGGAGTGGGTGAGGGGAGCAGAAGCACGTGCAAGGCATTGTGGGTGAGGATGGTAGGAATGGAGGCAGCCCAGGGGCGCTGAGGTAGCTTGCGGGGTGGAGGCATACTGGTAGGCATGACTTGTGAACCTACACCAAAGACAGAGAGAGAGGGAGATGTTTATAATTGACTTAGAAACAGTGTCACAAAGTTTGTGTTTCATAGTTTGCCCACCAGAGAGTGCTAACAGGTTAATTTTTCAAGATGTCCCACTCTATACATCTTCATTACAATAGTAAAATAATTAAGGTATTTCAGTATCAGTGAGCTATCACTAAAATAGCAATACTTACCAGTCCCGGCACGTGGAGAATGAGGGTCAGGGATAGGTGAGTGCAGTGATGGGTTGCCAGGGGACATGCCATGGATCCTTGCCCCAGGAGAAGGCCCTGAGACCTGGGGTGAGCCTGGCCACTGGCCCCTATGGCTGGGAGACAGCATGGCATATGGAGAGCTGGGGTCCAGAGCACCTAGAGTGAAGGACAGGCAGCGCTCAATATACAACAATAAACACAGTCAGATGAATACACCACTGTGTGCCCACTAACCACAGGCCATTTGTCATATGCTTGCTAATGTCTGCAGCCTAGAAGTGCCTAGTGAAGATTTTTAGCCCATTCCAGCCCT